ATTACCCCAAACCCTAGCTCTCTCTCACTCTCTTTCCTGCTGTCTTCGGTGTTTTCTCATTATCCAAAAAAAGAGCTGGCAACCAACTAGTGAGACAGCAGCCATGATAATAGAGGAGAAGTGTTTGTACTTAAAGCTTACATTATATGAGGTTTCTCAAATACTTATCAAAATATATATATATATGAGGTTTCTCAAATGTTTTGTGATTTGTGTTCATGTAACACTGAAGATATGTGAATTAATATCATAGATTATCATGGACACAAATTATATTGTGTTTATAGTGCTGAAAACGAGAACACACAACACACTTGGACTTTTAAAATGACTTACTAGCAGTTAATAAGTGAGTAAAACTGTTAGATGGAATCGTTTAGCTTGACAATATTGTCTGGTCAGTTTGTAAGAAGAGTTGTGGAGTCTAGTGTGTTCACATTTAAATGTTTTGTCATTTGGCATTCAAATTTGAAAGAATAACATGATTAATTAAAATATTTGAAAAATCACAAAAAGATTTATAATTTTATTTGGTTAACTGAAACCTTGAAAAATACAAGGTTAAAATAAATTGTTTAATACCCTTGTTAATCACCATCTACTCTAAAAGCTTAAGCTGTTAGAGAGGGTGTAACTTCAATATTTAAATCCTTCAACAACTTTCAAAGAACTTACTTCTCTCCTCTCCAAATTATAAATATTTTTCATTAGAACTTGGTGCTTAAGGGACTAATTTTATTTATTTGCATGGATTACATGAAATTGAAATGAATGACCTAGGTCTGTTTATTTTGACAATTTCATGACAAAAAGAGGGAGAAATAAGAAAAGGTTATCATAAGATTTATGTTCGAGGGGGAGTTTTCAATTAAGGGGGAGATTACAAATTCATATTTTATTTTCTTTTGTGCCTCATTTATTCTTTATTTCTCTCATCACATTGATATTATGCGCGGTTTTAGTTGTTTGTCTATGTTTTGCAAGATCATAGAAATTCTAAGACAAACAACTTTTGAGTTTTTTATATCTTTATTATGTATTGTTAAGTTTATTTTGACTTTGTCACAACAAAAACCGAAATCTGTATTTTTACTTTTAACTTCTGATTAGAAAAAAAAAAAATATTAGTTTTTTTTTAAAAAAAAAGAAGTAAATATGTATTAGAAAGCATTCAAACGGGGAACACATCCCAAAAAGCAACACAAGGCCAAATAGGGCCCCTAAACTCTCAAAGAGTCCAAAAAATCAACTATCTCCCCAAGGGAATTACAATATCTCCCAAGAAGCCAACAAAAAAGCGAGCTAAGTGTCACGTTGTGATTCCTAACGATGCCATGAGTATAAAAGACATGCATGCTGGTTGGCTAAAAGCATTCATTGACTGGGAATGGTTCCAGGGAAGGGGCGTGCAGGACCACATAATGATACCTCTTCAAAGTTCAGGCAGGTCAACTCAGTTGAGTGCGAGGAGCTTGTCGCTGGTCGTGGACTTGACTACGAAGAAGGGAGTTGGCCATCCCTGCACAAACTGGTCGGGAGCTGGAGCCGTTCCCCTGACGAGGCCATGGCAAGTCGAAACCAGTCAGCATGTATCCTTGGGAGGGCAGGTCGTGTTGGCTAACCAGGGCGCTTGCACAAGCTGAAGCAACGCCTTGGTGCCGCATGGGCCGTGCCGTTGCGCCAAATCTCTAGGCCCGTGACATAAGAGTAGAAAATTTCAGCACCCCAACAGAAGTCTCCACTCCCTCAATAGTTACTGGTGGTATTTATGTTTGAGGGCATGATTAGAGTTTGAAGATACATCAAAGGGCAAAAATGTAAAATCATATCTTCAATAACTAACCAATTACGGTTCATAATCATGTGGTCTCATTTTATGAAAAAACATTTTGAATGCGTAAAGTTTTTTTTGGATTAAATATGTTTAAATACGATTTTTTCACCAAAACAGATTCAGTCGATTAAATAGTAGATCAATCGACTAAATTCCATAGAGCATCCATTAGAGGTCAATCAATCGAAGTTGAGTCTGAATTAAAAGTCTGTCATGGTGAGTCTTTTGATTGAAGCATTGATCAATCAAGCCCTGTCTAGTAGTTGTTGATCGATGAGTTGATCAACCGACTTTTGTGCGAATAGTTTTTGGAAGCTTCTCTAAATCAAAATCCTAAAAGGTTTAGGTTTTCCTGTTCTGATTAAAACTAAGGCTATGTTTGGTACGGTGGGAACGAAAAGAAAGGATAACATTAGTTATGAGGGAAAGGGAAGGGAAGGATAATTTTAACCCCCTATCGTGTTTGGTTAATTAATGAAGGAAAAAAAAAAGGAAAGGATAAAGATCATGTTTGGGAAAAGAAAGGAAAGGAAAGCATTTTAGTAAATTTACTATTATACCCTTTTATATTTTAAAAGATAAATTTATGGGCCTCAAAAATTATAGGCCCATGTATGTATGACGGGCCACCAAGAAAAATATATACTAATTTTAGGGCAAATAATTTCAGCCTCCCCAATCGCCTCCATCTCTATTCTCGTTCTCAACTCTAAACTTGCCCTCTCTCTCTATCTGCAACAACAAACTACAAAATCTACAAGAATCAGAAGTTCAAAACCCATATATTTCAGTTTATCTATCTGTCTGCAAGAATCAAAAGTTCAAAACCTATTACCTATATCAAAACCCATATCGGCATATCATTTCAGATTGTTCCAAAACTCAAAACCCATATCTTTCAGTTTCCGTCGCCCGCTGTTCCAGTTCGGGTTTGCCTCAGCCGCTGTCTCTCAACTCTCAAGCTTGCCCCCCCTCTCTCTCTGTGCAACTACTAACTTGTATGTATGGGTTTTGTTTTAATTTTTTTTTTCTAAATCAACTAATCAAGGTCTGTAATTCTTGTTTTGCAAACTAAATCCTAAAATCAAGTGTAATCTTGATTTTGTGTAAGGGTAAATTTGGCATCAGAAATAATTCATCAACCCTAGCCTTCCCTTTCCTTCCATTTCCTCCCATTTTTGGGAGGATGAGAAAATTACTGTTCAAAGCTTGTGATATCCTTCCAAAACCTTCCCTTCCCTTCCCTTTCCTTCCAACCATTTATGCCAAACGCAAATTTTTACTAACCCTCCATCACCTTTCCTTTCCTTTCCTCCCTTTTCCATTGCACCAAACTGACCCTAAGAAACCCTAATTCTTTTACACTCAAAGCACTATATAAAAACTCTAGATTCTCATAATAATAACATATATATAGATATAGATATATAGATTTCTCCATACAATATTTAGAGATCATATAATTTTAAGAGAGCATAATTTATTTTTCATCATCTACATATTGAATTAGATGGAGAGATAATATAAAGAGTTATTTTTTATTCTTTTACCACTGGGCCATGTTAGCATAGCCCCATAGTGGGCATTTGTGAGCGTTTGTTTGAATATTTACCTAACCAAAGAAATAAATAAACACGCAACTTGAATAACTAGTCAGTAGATATCAAATCACTAGTTTGAGAAGCGGATCGCAAGAGGAGAGAATCTGTTGACGAGCAGACTGTGTTCCTGGAGACTTGAGAGGAAAGTTTGGTGGATCAGTTCGTAAGTGGGTGTTTCTAGGGTTTGCAAAACTATAAACCTGGTTGTAATATCTATCTCATAGTGGATTTGATCTGTCTGGAATCGGTCTTGTGGTTTTTTCCTGTCAGAGTTTTCCATGTAAAAATTGTATTCTAGCTAGTGTGGTTGCACGATTTACTCCCTCTGTCCCACAAAAAATGTCCATTTTTGGGAATCTAACTTTTTAAGAGTGTAGTTTTTTATGTTTTTTTTTTTATTATAGTGGTAAAGAATGAATTCCAAATATACCCTTCTATGGTGGGTCCACATGCTTTTACAACTTCAAGGCGAGGAGGGTAAATTAGGAATATTTAAAAAATAGTACACTGAATTTTGAATTGGGACAATTATTTTGGGACAGCCAAAAATGGAAAGGTGGACACTTCTTGAGGGACGGAAGGAGTATTTATTTATGCTCACTATACTTAACTGATTCATATTGCTCTTTTGTAAAGTATAATTTTGATAATTTAAAAATCATTTATTGTTAATCTCTTCACCAATCTAAATCTATACTGGGTATAGTGTACTTCAACGTATTAAAGCCTCGGATTACAATCCTAGAATCTATCAAATAGTATAAAATTATTGGAGATAGATGACCATACAACAAATAAAGAACAAAGTGAGTAAAATGAAGACAAACTAGTGGTATACAAAGTGATATGAGAACATCAAATAAGTTAAAAGAGAAATTCTATAGGATAATTATTAGGCCAATTATCTTATACGGAGCAGAGAATGCTGGCAATTAAAAAAGATAAGAATAATACATCTATGCAGATGAAATGGAATGCTAAGATAGATAATGAGTCAACATGTCAGTGAGAAATTAAAAGTGACACCTATTAGTAACTCAGACACAATGATACAAAAGGAATACTAGTTTTTTTTTTTTTTTTTTTGATAAGTAGAATTTCATAGAAGGCGCTCAAGAGGGGTACGCTCCCACAGGAATACACAAAACACCAAAGGCGACAACTAAAGCTTTAAGCTATCCACAAAATCCAAAAGGTCCCCTTAAAGTTTTACAAGTACGCCTGAACCCAAAAAACTAAAGTATGCAGTCTACTGTATTTGAGAGACCAAATAGGAGACTCCTCACCCTCAAATACAGTATGCAGTATACTGTACTAGTTAAAATTGAAGATAAGACACAGAGATAAGCCAAAACCAACATAAAAGAAAGTAATAAGGAAGGATGAATATAATAGGAGGCATAGTTTGTAATAGGATAGAGTGCAAGAAGAGAATTCATGTAGCTGACCACATTCGATTGGGATCAAGGTAAATGACCATGATGATGGTGACGATGATAATATATAGATCGTACATAGTCTCACGCAAGAATGATTCAAATGTTCCTTATCAGTAAAAGAATTACCTTAAACATTATCACACTTGCCAAAATGGTAAAAGATGTAAACATAACATAGTATATGGGAGATACAACAGCTGTGTTGAATGTGTCAAGGGCCTGCATTCAAGATTAAACAACAAAGAACGCAATTAGAATACAGTACCCTTGCAACCATACATGAAAGAAGAACCAAGTATGGTTTAAAAAGACGATCCATGTATCTATATTACATCTGAACCTCAAGTAAAAGAAAGCACAGATCCAATAGCAGAATAGTTGATCCATGTTGCAAAATTTAAAGATTAGTTCAACTGATTCCAGAAATTAGCTACTCCAGGTGGTTATTCACTTCAAGCAAGCTAAAGTTGTCTCACACATTCTGACATCTTTTAAGCTATTTTTGGCAATGCTTCATGGCTGCAAATCAATTATAAAAGATGCTATATGCATCAGTTCAACTCAGCTGTTTTTCTCTAATACCTTCTAATAATTAAATTGTGATAATGTGCAAGGTTCACGTGAAATTGCAAAAAAGTTTGTAATATATGAGAGAAGAAAATGGGTCTCATCTAATATTGACCTAATGAGACTTGGAGAGGAGGGGGGGGTGTGAGTACCAATTTTCTTGGGAAAAGGGACATTGTAGTAAAGGGTTGACATGTTCCATAAACAAAACTCTCGTTAGATCAATAGGGTTTCATCACTCTATTAGATGAATCAACATTATTGAAGATGTGACTAAACATTGAAGACTGAGCCAACTTGTTGGCAAAATGATCCTTCAAGCTTTTATGATCAGAGACATTTTGAGAGTGGCAAGTGACTTATTGGCCTCAAATTTCGAGCTGGTTAGTCATTAGGTAAATTGGCCCTCAGACCTAGGTATTTGGATGAACTCATTTAGGAACCAATTAAGAAGTTTTGACTTGAAAAATAACTGTAGAGTCTGATCTCGTGTTTGAACTGAACCTTGAGACAAGGTGCCATTTCCAGATGCTGGAAGGCAAGAAATGGCGTATCATGTAATCACTGACTCATTCAGGGTCCTAGGGAAGCACTTACAAGGAGAGAACTTTTAAGTGTTTTTCAACGGTAACAACACCTTCGCCGAGTTAAAAGATACGGAACAATCGGAAGTCAAAGAGTGTCGACTAGGCCAATTGAAGGGTCAGCCAGTTGAACAAGAACTAAAGTCGGGACATTGTGAACCAGTAGCTACTCAATCAGTCAAGCTTACATCGAACAGATTGAGTTTTCAACAAATAGTTGCAGATAGATTGAACTAAAATGATGGACAGATACAACGACTGAAATCTTATCGACTGATTGAACTAAGGTTGTAGACCGATCGAGCTTTGTCAAATATAGGCATTGACAAGGTTTTCTATCTCGAGTGGAGTCCTTTTATTAGAAAGCCCATCCGAGCATTCCTAATTTATGAGCATGAGTCTAGAGTTATTCTAATGAGAGATGCTTAAGAAATAATGAAAAGATTTAGAGAGACTAAAAACAACATAAGAGAATTGTTTTTCTCACATAGCCAGAATTTGAGTTAAATATACCTTTTAATTGCTATGTGACTATGTAATGTGAGGAACATACTGGCATACCAGTGTTCTGTAACCACTAAATCATCATCTTGTCGTGGACTACTACTCTTGGAGTCTTTGCTCATGTGAACGAGTGCTAATCAATGAGGAGCCGGTCATAGCTTGCAAATAGTGCGGAAAATTTGCCAGCAATCAGTGGGAAAGAAGGGGAATTGTAAAGAACAGTTCATTGATGTGACAGCAGTAACTTGACTTGTGATTAAGGTGACACTGGGAGTAAGACACACCAAAAAGCTTTATGCCAAACGTAAACAAACGAACGGTGATTCTGGGGTCAATCTGTTACTGACCATAACGTTGTAGTTCCTGTCACAGTGGATTGTTAAATTTTGTGTAAAATCTTGTAGTTATTTCCTGCTAGGGTTTTTCAGATAAAATCATGTTTGCCCTTTATTACTTTTTGTGATTCCAATATTGTGGTTCCTTGATTATAGCATGATTAATTGCTCCTTATTTGATCTGTTGATTATTATGATTGAATTGAATAATTTCAATTCAATTTAGACGACAACTGATTGAAAATTGAATTGGACATAATAACCCCCCTCAAAGTCTAATTTGATCCATCACAAAAATGTCTTTCACAAACTGCTCCACCCTTGAGGGACTCTAATATTCTTTTTATGGGGCTCTGAGCATTTGTTCCACCTGAGAAAAAATACACTCCAAATTTGAAAGGAAAGGAAAGGAAGAGGCCCTGATCATAGTCGTGTTCCTCAACCCCCAATTTTTACAGTATGGTACTGCCAATATAATATCTTAGCTTTGGGGGCTCCCATCTCCCAGAACTCTACCTGTTCTCAGATTCTCTTCCATCTTCCTACAGTCCTGGCTATAGAGTTCCCAAGTGCCCTCCTGCAAGTCTGGCAATCTCTGAAAGGTAAAATGTGCTCACAGACTGCACCACAGATCGGACTACTGCCTATTCTTGTTTATCCAATCTTGCCAACCACAGACACCACCTTGCTCTTGTTCGTCAGAAGATTATCTAATCTTGCAAACCTCAGAAAGCATTTATCTCTAGGTATGAATTTCATTTTCCAAATATTACAACCTTTGTCTTCACTGCAGGGCTGATTAGAGGGCTGCCATCTCATAAGCAGACTTTGTAGCATACTGCATATTTATGGACGGCCCCCAAATCAAAGCATCTTCACATTCTAGATCTCATGACCCGCCCCAACCAGTGTAGACTGGCAGCCCAATTGACATGTGCTCAAAACAAAACTTTGTTAGCTTGTGGCCTCCTACAAACCTTGCACACCAAAGTTAAATTAGCTTCAGTGAAATTCTTCATACCAAGTTTTCTGGTCCTTTGCCATCAAAGGCTTCATAATTAGTCACGATATTTTTTCTAAAATCAAGAGCTCTCCCCTATCTCCACAATAGTTGGACATCAGAAAAGGAAAATAAATAAATAAATAAAACAAAGTACTGATAGTTGACAACCAATTAGTATCCAAATCACTAGCACAATTGTACATTTCCCTCTAACCCACTAAATAATATGTAAAAAGCCCAGGCTGGGACTGATACAATTAAATGGAAGCATGGTAGGTTTTCTTTGAAAGCAGCTTGGAGTTCATGTAGATTTAAAAAACAGGTAATTCAATGGAGTACTCTTTGCTGGGGCCACTGCAGACCTAGAATAGCTGTGGGTGTTACAATTATACTGCATAATAAGAATCTTAGCTATGTGAATCTGTAGAAACATGGTTTAGTTATCACTCCTATCTGTCATAACTGTTTGGCAAATACAGATACTAATGATCATCTATTCTGGGAGTGTAACTATGCTGTTGCAATTTGGCAAGAATTAGCTAGTATTATTCAAATGGATCTGCCCAGTTTCTCCTCTCTTACACAGATGACAGAGTGGTTTCTTCAACATTCAGTTATAAATTCTACAAAATCAAAGGTCCTGTGTTGCCTTGTTTGCTGTCACCATTTGGAAAATTGGGTCTAGTAGAAATTCAGTTCTCCATCATGGAATACAGGATGCTTCTACCTATGCTGCCAGAGTTTGGGATGTGCTTGCATATCTTAAAATTAGACTTGAGGATTTGTTAATCATTTTTAGTTCTTGATGCTGAGTTTTTCATTTTTATTGTTGTTTAGCAGCTATTGGAAATGAGCTTATTCTAGCCGTGTGTTGTAAAAGGGGGAATGCCTCCTTCAGACCTTGTAATGTTATTTTTTCTTTTATAAATTATCCCATTCAGGAAAAATATATATATATATATATGTAAAAAGCCTTTCACTTTGCCATCCACATGTCATTTCTTACAAATTTATCATTGATGCCAGGGCAGAGATAAATTATCAGTAACAAATAGGACACTTAAGTTGACCAATCCCATTTGACTTGAAGACTAGAGTCATACAACTTAAGGTAAATGATAAATCCTTGGGACTACTGTTTGCAAAGTGTAGTTGGCTGCAACGGTATATTCTTTGGAGGGAACGGAATCATAGAATGTATCTAAATGAGCACAGGGATGTTAATATGATTCAGGTATGAGTTGTAGATAATATCAGAGTTAGACGTCGTTTTTTGAAGAAGATTGCTAATACTCGATCTACTTGTTGGCTGCAGTAAAATGGGGCTTACCAAACTGTATTTTTTCTTGAGACTTCTCCATTCTCTTGGTTGGCCTACAGTCTTTTCCTCTACTTAGATGGTAGTACAACCATTGTTTGGTTCTCATCTTCCTTTTGTTTTGCTCAAGGGTCCTCTTCCCAACCTCTAACTATTTTGTTTAAAAAGGTGGGACTTGTTCTTGTGATGTTTTTCCTCTTTGGTCTATTGTTCCATGGGACCTTTTGAAGGCCTTCTCACTTGATGTTTTAACACTTAACAAAAGTAAAATGAAATTACAGAAAAATTCAATTTGACAGTTACTAAAAGATACAAATATATTTGACAAAAGTAAGGACATTATACAAGAAAAGCAAGGACAGCACATCAATTGCATATAAATGACTGATGACTGAAAAGATTAAAAATGAAAGAATAAATAAATAAATGATAAGAAAGAATAGGAAACTCAGTACCTTGTTTAAATAGTTCATTTGTGTGATCACACAAGTAATAACAACAACAGTGAAGATCCATGTTTGAGGGTATGTTAGCTGATTCATTCCCGAGAAAGTTAGCTTCAAAGCAATTCCAAGTGCTTTCACACTCATTACCTGCCCAAGCATAGTTCTTAGGATAAACTATTTATAGGGAAATAACCAGGGAAAGAAAACAAAAATGAAGTGCAAATACATACCGATAAGGAGCCAACTAGTGAACAAACTCCAATATACACCATTATATGCGTCTGGCCGTATTGTGGGATAAAGTGGAATATAAGTATAAACACAGCTATTATCACCAGAACTGCATAAAAGAGAAAAGCTGCAAAAGAGAACTCTGGTCATTAAGTTCGGTAACAAGTTTTATTACCCAAAAAAAGAAGCAAGCAAGAAACATAATATAAAACAGGTAAAAGGAAAGTTAAGTGGATTATTAAACAGGCACTAATACAATACCTGGCTCTGTAGCAAGATCCCAAACTTCTTTCACGGAATCAATCTCACGTTCTTGAGGAGCATGAAGAACAATTGTGGTAGAACCCACAACACACAAAGCACAACCAAGAATCCCAAAAGTATGCAGCCTCTCCCGTAAAATAATGTGTGCAAGCACAGCACTGAAATACAATATCATTATCAGTCATCAAATTGGAGAATCAAAATTAAATATGGTGTGCGACTTTCTGTCATGCCTGATAATAATGCTGAGTGCACCAAGAGGAGTGACCAGAATAGCTGGTGCAAAAGCATAAGCTGCAAAATTAGCAATTTCTCCAACAATCACTGTTACAAAAGCAACCACTCATTAGAATTCACATTCTCAAGGAAAATTATGGACTATAAGTAACACATGTGGTTGGTAAAGGAAACTGAAGTACTTGTCATATAAGTTTCTAGATTTGTCAAACAAGAAGAAGAAAACAGCTACTGATTATAATAACAAGAACAGTGGCAAGAATAACTCAACACCAAGCATTGATTTTTTTTTTTGATAAGTAAAAATAACATTAAAAAAAGGCGTTCAAGAGGGGAACACGTCCCAATTACAAAAGTGGAACCGGAACTAAGGCCCCAAAGAATCCAAAAAAGTAATTAAATCATATGAAGAAGAACAAAAGCTCCTCTTCACATAATTGAAGAGAGAACGAAGAATGTAAAGTTTGACCGTTTCCGTAGGCGACTCTTTTCCTTCGAACATTCTGCTGTTTCTCTCCTTCCAAATGCACCACCATACGCAATGTGGTACAATTCTCCAGAAATCGTGAACGTCTCTTCTCACTCGACAACCTCTCCAAATATGAATCAATTCCTTAGTAGATCGTGGCATAACCCAACACATGCCAAACAACCCAACAATAAGATTCCAACAATCAATCGCCACAGGGCAACGCAAAAGGAGGTGATTAACGGACTCCTCATCATCCTTGCATAGACAACAGCGATTAACTATACAATTGCCCCTTTTTCTCAAATTATCAATTGTCAGAATCTTTCCCCACACAGCAGTCCAAACAAAGAAAGCCACCCTAATTGGAGCCATAAACCGCCAAATAATTTTCCACGGGAAGTCTCAATTAACAAATTTTGACAAACATAAGAACAAAGATCTAACTTCGAAACGACCATGAGAAGAGGGAACCCAACTTAAAACATCATTATCTCTGCCAACGCCCTCCTGTCGATACAGAAGATCCAAAAAAACATATACCTCGTCCATCTCCCAATCCTGAAAAGAGCGCCGAAAATGCACATCCCATATAATCCCGCTGCTATCAAGCCAATAGCAGTCGACTATGTAGGCGTGTTTATTAACAGCAATACTATGTAATCTTGGAAAAGTACGAGAAAGTGACTGATCCCCACACCAGAGATCTTCCCAAAACCGAATGCAACGTCCGTCATGGAGTTTGAATTTGATATGAGCCGAAAAAACATCCCATCCCTTCCGAATAGCCTTCCACATCCCTACTCCTCCCACTAGGGTAACCGGACGCATAGACCAACCTCCAGCCTCTTCGCCAAACCGACAAGAGACTAACCTGCGTCATGGTCGATGTCTTTCCCTCCCATATCTCCATAACCACTTACCCAAGAGAGCTTAATTGAAAAGAACTAAACGTCTTATACCAAATCCACCTAATTTCACAGGCTTACAAACTTCCTCCCATCTGACAAGGTGGTACTTGAACTCATCGCCCTTACCACCCCAAAGGAAATCCCTTTGAATTTTTTCAATCCTGTCTGCAATGGAACAAGGGATTTGGAACATAGAAAGAAAATAAGTGGGAAGGCTCGACAAGGTGCTCTTGATAAGAGTAACTTTACCCCCTTTTGACGAGTATTGCTTCTTCCAACCTGCTAATCTCTTCGCATACCTGTCAATCACAGAATCCCAACTCCCCACTAAACTTGAAGAGACCCCTAGGGACAAACCCAAATAAGGAATTAGGAATGAGCTCACCTTGCATCCAAGGATTGCAGCTAAAGAGGAAATATCCGGAACATTCCCTACTGGGACAAGCACATTCTTTGCCACATTGACCTTTAGCCCGGAAACTGCCTGAAAACAAGTCAGAACACACCTCAAGTGTCGAAGTTGAGACACATCAGCATCACAGAAAACCAGGGTGTCATCTGCAAAGAGTAAATGGGAAATCTCCATCTGATGGTCTAAATCTCTACCCACTCTGAAACCCTTAACAAAACCAAGGTCCTCTGCCCTACGCATCAGTCTACTTAACCCCTCCATAACAAGAAGAAAAAGGAAAGATGACAAAGGATCACCTTGTCTTATAGCTCTAGAGCAACCAAAGAAACCGGCGGGAGAGCCATTCACAAGAACTGAAAACTTGACAGACGAAAGACAGGTCTCAATCCATTTCCTCCATTTACTTCCAAACCCCATTCTTTGTAACAAACAGAGTAGGAAATTCCAATTCACATGATCATATGCTTTATCAATGTCAAGTTTGCATAGAACTTCAGGAATACCACTCCGCAATCTGGAATCCACACATTCGCCAGCAATAAGAACTGAATCAAGAATTTGTCATCCGCCAACGAAAGCGTTCTGGGAATCCGAAATAATTCCATCCATAACTTCCTTCATCCTTAAAGCGAGCACCTTAGCAATGAGTTTGTAAATGTAGCCCACCAAACTAATAGGACGAAAATCCTTTATATCTGAAGCACCTCCCTTTTTTGGAATAAGGGCAATGAATGAAGCATTAAGCGATTTCTCAAAGACGCCAAAAGAATGAAACTCCTGAAAAGTACCCATTACCTCATTTCTTACAACCGCCCAACTTTCCATCAGAAATCGCATAGTGAAGCCATCAGGTCCCGGAGCTTTGTCCCCATTACAGCTTGAGAGAGCTTTAAGAACTTCTTCTTCAGTGAAAGGATTCTCAATCCTATCTCTATCAAGCTCAGAAATAGCCTCAAAATGGAGACCATCAAGTTTGGGCCTCCAATCTAAAGGCTCTGTGTAAAGCTTTTGATAAAAGGAAGCAATACCGTTACGCACCTCTTCCTCTCTCCACAACTCCTCACCATCCACCCGAATTCTTCCAATATGATTACTCCTCCTATAAGCGTTAGCTAACCGATGGAAGAATTTTGTGTTCCGATCACCTTCCTTTAACCAAAGAGCCCGGGATTTTTGTCGCCACGAGATCTCCTCCATACTAGCGATCTCAGCAAATACCGCCTGACAAGAGGCTCTCCTGGAACGAGGAGATTCCATATCCCTTCCGGCCTCCTCAAGACAATCAATCTCTGAAAATTCAGCAAGTACTCTATTCTTCCTCCATTCCAAATTCCCGAAGACATCCTTGTTCCACTGCTTAAGAGCTAATTCGAGAGCCCTTAACTTCTTTGCAATTGTGAAACTGGGTGAACCTGAAGAAGTGACTCCTTCCCACCAAGAACTGACTTTTCCTTTGAAATCATCCGCACGCAACCACATATTCTCGAATCTAAACGGGAATCTTTGAGAACATAAACCCCCGCAATCCAAAACCAAAGGCACATGGTCAGAAGTGACCCTTTCTAACACCGCTTGAACAACATCCGGGAACTTCTCTTCCCAATCCCCAGAAATTAAAAATCTGTCCAGCCTTGATAGAGTTATTGGATCCCTACCATTGGACCAAGTATAAGCTGCTCCTTCCATTGGTAAATCAACAAGAAGATGCTCATTAATAAAATCAGAAAATTGATCCATTTCCAGAGATCTTCTTCCCCCTGTAGACCTCTCTGACGGGGATCTAACAGCATTGAAATCCCCTCCCAAGCACCAAGGGAAAGACAAAGCTCCTCCCAAAAGATAGGTCGAACATCATCAACAACCGGTCCATAGACTCCGGTAAAAACCCACTTGAAGTTGTCCTCTTCCATCTTAAACATGCAAGATAAAGAGAATCTTCCCATCCATACATCCGTTCGAGTTAACCATCTACTATCCCACATAACTAATATCCCACCCGAAAATCCCATAGCATTCAAAGCCTCCCATTCCACAAACCTTCCTCCCTACAATCTCTTAACCTCCCTGTCAGTAATGGATGCCAACTTGGTTTCTTGTAAGCAAACAAGCTGGGCACCCCACTTCCTTAAAGCTACCTTCACCACCCTTCCCTTATTCGGATCATTAAGACCACGAACATTCCATGAAATGATTCGTAGCTTCATTGTAAACCAGATAAAATAATCTCCCCTCCACCCTTCTTGAGACTCCTGCTCCTGGTTCTTCCCCTTTCCTTCACCACTCCTCCTTTGCCTTCATAGTTGACTTCAGAAATGAGATTCTTTATCTCCTGTACTCCTTTCCAAGATGATAAAGGCTTCGTGTTAATAACTTCTTTGGTCACTGCAACTTCTCTCCCTTCCACAATTGTTTGAAGGATGGATAATGTCCGGACATCATTACCCTGTGAAGAGACTCCCAGAAGCTTACTAGTGACTCCAATATTGTCAACTACCCAATCTTTCCCCATATCAACACCCTGTTCGTCGGGTCGCACCATAGCCAGTGGTGTCTCCTGTTAGATTTCAGAACTCTTCTCCACCCAAGGTGTAATCTCATTGGAGCATACCTGTTGAATAGAACCCAGATCATCAAGCACTTCCTCTTCCAGCTCCTTATCATTTTCATAAAAAGAATCAGATTCTGAAACAAAGTCAGTCCTATCAGTCTCTGTGTGAGGCAAGCAATTAAGACCTTTCAGAGCAACACTTAGTCGAAGCTCTTTAAATAAAGCTACAGCCTCTTCATTGGACAGCTGGAAGTGGAGGTCTCTGCCCACGCATACTGTAATCCCTTCAGATAATTTCTTAACAGCACAATCAGCAATTTTCATCTGCCTAGGAGCCACAGTCTCACTCTCCTTCATACCTTCCGTATTCAACCCAGAATCAGTTCCATCATTCGTGAGAATCAGCTCACTACACTTCTCCAATTCCGGCCCAACACCGGCACTCCTTAGCACACAAGAAGGGGTAGAAGAAGAGGATGGGACATTAAAATTCTGAGGATGTGAAACTGATGACGTACCTAGATCACTGGTAGAGGTCCACTTCTGCTTCTCTTTTCGAGACCATCTAACTCCTTGACGTTTTCTGTTGGGGTCCCGAGACGAAGACCTAACAGTTCTTCCTTTCTGCTGGAAAGTTTTAGAGAGAGATGACGATGAGAAGTCTGCACAACATTGAGAATGGCGAGAACCCAATTCGACAGGACCACCACCAGTCGCTACACCAGAAAATTTCAACCATTTTCTCTTTTCCGGAGAGTTCCAGAAAATTACAGAATTATCTTCAGGCCTCTGAAAGTGACCGACTCCTTTAGAGGTAAGTGAGCTGGGCTTGGGGTTGATAAAAGAAACTAATACACTTTATTTCTGGGCCCCCTTGAGACCTTTCTCTCCATATTACTCCCGTTTGGTCCATAACTTAAAGTGGACTTTGGGCTGGGCTTGTTCTTAAAATAAAGAGGCCCTCGATGAACAGCCTTCTGCAGCTCCTGTGGGCCGGGTTGAACAAGCGGCCCATATGACGATATAGGCCCGTAGCCCATTTCAGTTCCACGACTAAGCCCATTAGAATTCACAGCATTAAAGACTCCATTAAGAACACAATCTTTGCCACGTGTTTGGTATCCGTTAGCGCGGATATTACGAGGGAACATATGGCGATGACTAAGGACTTGATTGGCCCCTCGATGCGCTTCAGGCGCGTGCATAGGCAGACATCTCTTTCCTTCGACGCCATGGTAGATCTGTGCTTTCCGGCGATTTCCTCCATTTGCAACAGCCGGGATATGTGACTCCTCAACGCCATAGTAAGATTTCGGAAGAATACGAGGTGTTATTTCCTCTATTAAGTTGACCCTGTAAGCCACTCGTTAGTCCTCAACAAAAACGTACTCCGGCAACATTTTCCCGACAAAGACATAGAGAAGAATTCGCTGTCCACAAACCGAAACATCCGCCTCAACTCCTCGGAATCCACCACATAAATTCCCAATTGCTTCAAAAAGCTTGTTGCACCAGAGATGGAGGGGTAAACCAAACAGGATCACCCGACGTATGACTCATTCTTTTACAGCAGAACAGCCGGCGGCGAAGTACCAAATATCGATGGATAATAAAGCGTCACCCCATCTTTTCCTTCCTTCGTCCAACACCCTTAAGGCCTCAGCCTCCGAAGGAAACCTGAACAGAAGTAGATCATCAGGTAAAGGAGATACTTTCACCCCACATGAAACCTTCCAAGTTTTCGACGCCCATGCCTCAATCCCTTCAAGACACCCCACGTCTCTGTCAAAGCAACCAACAAGGCATGATCGCAGTACAGATTCGCGCTCCTGAATGCTTTGATGATCAACCCTATAAACCAGATCATTGCCTATAGAGCAGCTTTTGATGAAATAGATCTAACAAACATACCCTTCCTCCTTTCCATCTTGTCCAACACTATAACAAGACAGCTTCCTTTCCTTTTGGTTACCTTCTCCATGCCTCATTGCCTCCTACTGCCTTTTTCAATATTTCATGCCCCATTCCAGATGGAGCAGAAGTTTATTACTTATATTGATAGAGTATACCGTCTTGCAGCACAACAGATTAGGTATACAGCAGCAAGAATATGGCAATGAAGCACTCTGGTGGTGGTGTCAGCAGCAGGGTGGGATTGGGTATTGATTTTATTTTATTAATCTTATTATTGGGAACTTTAATATTGGAAACGAAAAAAAAAATTTATAATCAAGCAGACAAAATGATCTGCTTTTTATGTAGAATACAGGAATAGTCATAGAAATTATTGTTGAAAATCTTATCAAGTTCAAGTTCTATTCATTCCGAACTATTATTATACCCACCCATAGTTAATTTAGATACTAAAGATAGTTTAAACAAAGAGGTATAAATGGTCAATATCCAGTGCGGTCCCCGTTAATTCAGGGGGCTCGGTTTGTGGGGGGCCTACATACAGACCTAATCTTTAGCATTATTTACACAAAGTGGTTGCTCCAAGGATTTGAACCCTCGTTCTCACGCCTGACAGCCCATTTTACAAGTGCACTAAGCAATGGCCCATACATGGAGGTATGTTAGGCATAAACATGTCAGATCATTCTGTTCTATTGTAGACTATTTTATAAACCACTGCACAAACACACACATAATATACATATACTCAATCAAGTAAATCCAGTAAGCTAATCCATTCAACCTCCCATCAAATAGATCTAAAACAAAGATGACTTAGCATGTCTCACTTTGAAGTAGCCCAGTCCTAAATGTACCACAATACTATCCCTAGTATGATTATTTTGAAGAAACAATAGCTCAAGATACCATCCATTTCCTACTCCCGAGAGGCAAACAGCTCAAGCTTAAGCAAAGACGTGAACAATCAGACTTTACCAGTTGAGCTAGCAACAACAAAATTTTGATTTGTAATATATGAAGTTCTATACCAACAAAAAATTAAAGTTTTTGGACAAATATTGAATTCATGGAACAAAAGTAAAATTATTTCACATTTATAAGACAAACATTGCAAAGATATGCTTAAAGGTTTCACTTTAGTTTGTTCATTAAGTGTAATACCTCCATCTGCACTAATTGGCTATCTGAAAAGAGAAATTTCCATAAAAGCTCCTAAAGGTTATGGATCATATTTAAGAACATTTGTTTTATTATCTTTTAAACGCATCACTAGCAACTCTGAAGTACAGCTATACACTGAAATGTTCTTCTTTGCTATAGAAAAATGGCTACACACAGGGTCTATTAATTGAAAAAGCTAGACAATAAAATGTTTCTCTTCTAATAAAAACAAAATTTGATTAAGAACGCAAAAAGGAAAAGCTACTAGAGGATGAGTTCTCCACTGAAATGGAAGATAACAAATATGACAAATGAATTGAATTTTGATTTGAATAGAGATATCAGCCTAGGTAGGCTTTGAATTATGCCAGATCAAAGATATAATTAACCCCATTTCGCTTCCGCTGCCAAAGCAAAGCTGGAACCCAAGATAAGAGAAAAAAGGAAGTAAAAGTTCCCTAATTGAGATCCTTATTTGAGTGATAACCAGGTAGAGTGCATCTATTACACTCACAGAATAGCAAGCATACCAAAGATTAGCACTACCATCACTTCCAGACACATGGAATTCAAAAGAGAAAGTGCAGTCAGATGGAGACTCAGATCCTATTTCAAAAGTGTTGTCCCCTATAGCAGCAAACCAGCCTTCTCTATGTAGGTTTCTTTAATTTCAAATTCAACTATCCCACAACCAATTGGAATATGGGAAGAAAACGGCTGAATTTAGATAAATTTGTTATAACCGATATATTACCACAACACAACCCCAGCGCCCCCCCCCCCCCCCCCCCCCCCCCGGCGGTGCACAAGCGCGCACAATTTTTTTCCTTCTAAAAAGGAACACCTTATGCCTTTATTTTTCCTTCTCGATAAATTTAAGTAAGCCATCTTTGACACAAACAAGTAAATCCGACTTTAAATAGGTTCACTGTTATTGCAACTCTCATTTGATCCGAAATTAACCTATTAAGTAGTTTTAAAATTTTCTTGCTGACTTCAAGAATTTTAAAAAATACCTCACCAATTCGGATGGCTTTTAGCCACATAAAATCCACTCTAATATCCCTATCTCTTCTTTAGAATTCAAGATGTTTTATCAAACGTTCTTACATCTAACTTGTTTGGAAAAGAAAGGTCAACTAAGAAAGTGATAATACATCATTTAATCATGACAGAATTAAGAACTGATAAGTGGGCCTCACTGGCTCCTACGCTATTAAATGTTCCATGCTGCTGTACATGCTATTCTTTTCCTTGTTTGATGCTCTCATAAACTCGCATTATGGTGACTATAAAATACACATAGAAAAACGATCATATGTCACATCCGTATGAAGCTAAACCAATTTAGATATAAAGAAAGAAACCATCTCCAGAGCTCAACTTTCAGCATAAACATCATTTCAACAGATAATGATTTGTTGCAGAGAAAATTCATGCATACTGAACTAGCATCACAAATTCAACAGTTGATCTAATTAACAGATAATTAACAAACAGAATTGTACAAATCTTACTTGTTATCATGCCTGCCCACCACAGTGGCTCATATAAGTATGAGTAGCCTCCAACTCCTGTTAAAATAGTCGATGGAAATTTTGTCAGTGACATTATTAATCATTATAGTAACCTAACATATTTTCTGTAAAACCATACTAAAGTGCACAGCAATCATGGAATCTGCATTCCAAGAAAAGCACAATATTTTTAGATGCTCTGAAAAGGTTACATAATATATTTATACAACCGTTCCATCGTGCTATGCGTGTCATCATTTCCATAGTATGCTTACAATAGACAAGAAGGGAACGAATTCTGCTGCAATACCATTTATTAGCTAAGATCGTTATACTTAAAACAGGAAGCTGGCAAGTAGTTCTGCATTCTTACTTCACATATGCAAAAGCCCCTCTGCTACCATACTCTGCTCAATTCATAAACAGGTCTGCACTTAAGATCTTCTATTTTTACATTCATAGCCAACAAGTAAAATAAATGTAACCAGCTACCAGAAAAGCATAGAAAACCCTGATTGCACAGGTACAATAAGATACCATAGGAACGTAAAGGTAACCCATAAACCATATTTTTGTAAAATAAGATACCATAGTAATATGCAGTTAACCCATTAAGGCATAAGCCACACTTTTGAAGAAATAGCTAGTAGTTACCTGCCAAAAAAAGAGCCAAAAAAAAAAGGAAGTATAAATCTGAAAACAATAAAAAAACATTTGTGATTTTTTTCTTGGTAAAGAAGTCCACAAAACAAACAATTCAAACGGTGTCCTTAAGTCGAGGTTGATCGCGTCCACACACACAAGAGAATGAAAACAATGACGTCACTTCAAAGCCAATACAATGTTCAATGTGTAATAAATGGAAAAGAATCGACAAAATTGATCACTGGTTGAACAGAAATTTTAGAATATGAAATGGTGTCAACTCAGATTTTCCAACCTATTCAGCATAAAGTAAATTATGCATCAAGCTGAAATTTTCCTTAAAGTAAAATCCCAAATAAATGACCCTTGATTCATTTCGTTTCCAATAATCAACTGAGATTTGTATTTATTCATGCTTCAGTGGGTAATAATTGCAACATCTCAACACATCTCAAGAAAACCCAAAAATGAGCAAAGACTACAAAAAATTCAGAACATCAAAAAACACACGATCATTTCAATTTCTCTATATCAACCAATCAAAAACTAAGATATATTGAATTCAGATAACACTATTTCCATAGTTGTATCTGTGTATCTATTTCCTAATTTGAATGCCAGCATTTATAGTTTTCAAGTCAAAAGGAGTCCTTACCAGCCCTAATTCCGGAAGCACCAGCTTTCTTTAAGCCCTTTTTCTTGACGATGAAGCTTGCACCAATAAAGACGCTTGACGACAATGCCAGAACCAAACCCTTGATGTTGTCAGAGGACATGCCCTTGTACGAGTCTCTCCAGCTGTGAGAAACCTCCGCCGCCATTACTGAATTGCCCTAGTTCTCACAGGTCATTGAGCTTGTATAATTGTAACTTCAATTTCATTGATCACAAAGACGAACTGATCAAAAGAAATAACCAGTGGGATCTCACATATTCATATATATATATGTATGTATGTATATATGTGCGAGTATAGAGAGATGTTTGTGTAATCGGGGCTGTATATGAAGCTTGGAAGATCTGCCGGTGCTTGCAGAGAGAGAGAGAGAGAGAGAGGAGAGAGAGAGTTGGTGGCACAGCTGGAACTGAGGTTTCTTGGATAGGTAGATCGGAGAGAAAGGGAGAGAGTGTGTAAACTGGGGTTTTTGATTGTTTTACCAAAATAATGACCACTCCTATCCGACATATTTTGCTTATCTATACACTCATTTTCACTTGTAATTCCATTGTCCATGTTCTGGTTTTTTTGTTTTTCTTTTTTTTTTTTCAATTTCTCCAACAAAATTAAATTACATGAATATTAGAAACACAAATATTATCCCCGATCTAATCGCTACAGCATCAGCTCCCCAAATGGATATGGCAGTGTTCAAGTCCCTGAATAAAAAAATTCAATCTTCAATTCTAATTTGACTTCAATTAAGTACTTCCAAAAGCAAATCAATTATTATTTTAAATTAAATATCTTAACCTTTATTTTTAGAAATAAACACACTCATTCTGTCATTTCTAGAACATGTCCAACATTTGTGTAAAAAAAATTTGGATTATTTATTTTTAACTCCAACAGTTATTTTCTATATTAAGAAAATATGTTAATGTACGTAAAAAGGTTATGTAAAATACAAAACAATTTTATACATTGGTGAATATGTTGCTATATAAAAAGGTTAAGTAAAATGTATAATATTTTTACACATTGGTGACCTAAGAATGTATCTTAACATGGTGCTAAAGATAAAAAATAAAAAATATATATATAATAAATAAATAAATTACACATCATAACTATATATTTTATATAAAAGAGTATGTTAATAAATTGTTAGAGATGCTCTATCAATTAATGCATTTATCTATGAGAAGGCGATATTGGGAAAAAATCCGGATAAAAAATATTTTGATCGGAAACTTCTAAAGGCAGCATCGGCCAACATAGGAGTGAGGCCAATTCCATCCATCTTTTTCCTTCATCCACGTTGGTATGTTGTTGAACTCTTTGATGCAGGCTTGAAACCTTATTTTCTTGAGGTGACACTATTCTCACCATCAGCTTCCCCTTGCAGGAAGTAAGCCGGGTAGGACCGTGTAGAAAAAGTTCAGACCCTGAAAGCAAAACTAATGAATCAAGGGCTTCAGGCTAGCTTCTGAAGTGACTTTTACATTTTCATGTCCAGATTACATTCATATCACTGTTTTGATTTGCCATTATGGTGTTGTAATCTACATTCAAGTACTAAAGAAATACTATCTTGACACTATTTTTAGCATGCAAAATTATAAATAAATAAATATATGTATATATATATATATATATATAATAATAATTATACAAAACACTTCAATGATTTGCATATATGATAGTACAAGTTTGTAAAACATCTTATAGTTACATAATGGCAAAAATCCCCATCTAGGCGGGCCACGACTCGTTCTATGATAGTTTTGGGGAATCGTTTATGTAAATGATGATGGGAATAGAGAATGGTTTTAAACTCGGCGGTTTTAGGCCGAGGGAGAGGAAGGTCGCCCCGCCCTGATTAGGTTATACTACAACTTTACTAAATTTTCTTTACATATTATAATATATTACTAAAATAGGTTAAGTATATATATTTACACTTTTGCATAAGAGGAAACCCTAACCCCTCATTTCATGGTCTTGAGTCTCTTGACTCTTGAGAGAGTCGCGAATGACTGTACGGAATCTACCGACTTGGTCGCCATTCAAGTCACCGGCGTCATTACTCAGTCAGTCACTCGACCTGGTCGTTGTCATTGTCACTCAAGTCGCCATTTTTTTTTTTTTTTTTCCCAAAGGTTAAACAGAGTTACAGTCTTAAGAACTCTTCATTTATGTTCTCATGTCAATACACAGTTACACACACACACACATATATATAGATGTATTGAAAGATCAAACATGGTGACGCATATTTATGTGTGTGTGTGTATATATATATTGTTTGTGTACCAAACTATCTTGTTCTATGTTTTAAGATCTAATTTATGATATGTTCACTTTATATCTAATTCTCGGTTATTCTCTATTAAGCCCTTAAAAGTTACTTTAGATTTGTTTCTTTGTCATTCTCATTTAGATTTTATGATATCATTTAGGATTTGTTGATTATTATTAAAGTTACTATACTTGAGTAACAAGTTCTTCCCAATATGACTGATTGATTGTTACCATCTTTGTCTTTTGACTTTTTTTAAAGTCTTTTATTTATAATCATATTATTGTAAAGCAAGAATACTTGTAAAATAAGTCTTTGTTATTCTTTGTTTACAATTTTTTTCTAACCCACCTATAAATAGAGGTGGGTATTTGTAAATATGATTAAGAGAGTTCATAATAAAAAGTGATGTAGCCTTTTTGTCTCTGTATGTCGTGGATGTAAGCTTTAGTGGCTGAATCACATTATATTCGCGTGTTGTTCTATCTTATTGCTCTCTTCAACTTTTTATATATTTTAATATGGTATTAGAGCAGGTTTATTGTATCATACTCTAAATCATTCTTTCGCTCATTTCATCTTGATTTATTTTCTCTTCATTATCAAAGTGTTAGGAAAAATTTGTTAACTTTTTGCTATCATTTTGCACGTTGCATCATTTCGTGCATTTCTTCTTCATGTCAACTGAATAGTGACATCTTCAAAGGAGCCTCTTCGTGACCATATCATCAGGGGAGCCTCTACACCAAATATCATCCTATATTTTCATCTTGTTATCGTTGCAAAGTTATTTTTTGTATGCTTAAATGCATATTGTTGGCTACATGTCGAGTTTCTGATGAAGTGCTCAGAATCACGTTCTTCACTCTTGCAGACCCTATGTTCACTAGCATATAGCTTCACAAAATCTTTGGAAAGAGATCTGTATCGTGATTTTATATGCAAGCTGGACGTTATTTTCATACACGTCCCACCTTGAGGTGGAATATTAAAGTTAATATATTTGAGTAAAAAGTTTTTTCCAATATAACTGATTGATTGTTACCATATTTGTCTTTTGACTTTCTTTAAAGCTTTTCCTTTATAATCATATTATTGTAAAGAAAAAATATTTGTAAAGCAAGTCTTTGTTACTCTTTATTTACAACTTTTTTCTAAGCCACCTATAAAAAGAGGTGGGTATTTGCAAACACGATTAAGAGAGTTCATAATAAAAAGTAATGTAACCCTTTGGACTTATGTGTCGTGGATGTAAACCCTAATGGCTGAACCATGTTATATTCGCGTGTTGTTCTATCTTATTTCTTTCTTTAACTTTTTATATATTTTAACAATTATGTACACTTTAAATGTGGTTCTTATTTGAAACTTTGAGGTATTTATTTGTCGACTTTGTCCCTTCATTAATTTGATCTATTTATTCAAACCTAGATACTGCTCTATTGTTTGATTGTCAATTTAGAACTATGGAATTCATCAATTAAATTATTTTTTTCCTTATATGCAATTTTTTTTCTTCTTACAATTAAAATGACTAATTATAATTCTGTATTTTGTTTTCTGTGGTTGCTCAATTATATAAGGTCTTTATATTTTTTGTCAATTTAGAACTATGGATTAAATGATAATTTCTTTACATGCAAACTTCTTTTTTTTTTTTTTTTTTTTTAAACAACTAATTTGATGGGTTACAATTCTGCATTTTGCTTTATTTGGTTGCTAAATTGTATAAGTTATATGTGTTTTTTGTGTTGAGGATTTTTCCTTATTTGTTGGCTTTTTTGCTAATCCAAAAAAATTGGATTCAGGGGGAAAAAAAGTTGATTGATTCCTTTTTTATTTATTTATTATCTCTGACATAGTAACTTGAAAAGCAGTCACATGAAGAATTTTAGCCTTAAAGCCTTCACCAGATAGTTTATCTCCAACTACCTCTTTGGCTCCTACTTCACTAAGAACCCCTGATGAGATAATTGTTTCTTCAGAGAGAAAAAGAAAATTGACATTAACAGTTTGGAATGATTTTACGAAGACAACGATTAGTGGTATGCAATATGTGTTTGTAATCAAGGGTGAATTCAGGAATTATCAATGAGATGGGCTAATATTTGTTTGGGTGGGCTAATACTAGTATTATTTTTTCTTTTTCTGGGCTAAAATTGCCTATAATAAATAAATAAATAAATATTTTGAGATAGGCTCAAGCACACCAGAGCTCACACCAAAATCCGCCCTTGTTTGCAATCATTGTATGTTAAGGTTCAAAGCACCTAGTAGTTATGGAATAAGCAGCTTGCGTGACCATGTAAAAAAGGGTAAGAAACAGAAGAAAAATGACGACATAACACAATTTATTTTGCAATTCAATCTTAGAAAGAATAAAGCCACGAGTGAAGCACAAGTGGAATATGGTTCAGGACATGAGCTTGCTTGCATGATCATAGTACATGAGTATCCACTCACCATGGTTAATGTAATGTTTCTGCTTTTTGTCATTATCCATTTTCTAGAATTTTTTATTTTTTGAGGGTATTTTCGTCTTTTCTCGTTTCGCGTGCCGGACACCGTGAGGATGTGCCGGGTGTGTCTAAGAGTTGCATGGGACATTTCCTTGAATTCAGAACTCTCAAAATTATATCGATAGCCATTTTGACATTTTTTTATTTTCGGACCGGAAGGTTTCAGCTGGGACCCGTTATCGGGGCTGTTGTGTAAGGGGGTTGCGTCTCAGGTCCACTACATTTCTTTCATAATTATTTTGTGCATATTTACATTATTGTTGTGGCTTAAATTGTTTGGTTGTAATTTATTATATATGTATATTAAATGAAAAATATAAGGTATTTTTAATTTTTGGTGGGGCCCATCGTTGTTTTCTTTTTAGTGGCCATAAGGCCATTATATGGCCTTTCATTTTCTCTCTCTATGTGATCTCTCTCTCTCTCTCTCTCATTTTCTTTCTCTTTTTCTTTTTCTACAAAGCTTCAAGTTTTGATCTCTCTCTCATCTTTGAGAAATTGCTAGTACCACCTTGGGCATTGTTAGAGAGCTCATCGAGGCCTTCATTTTAATCGGAGCCAATCTCCATTTGGCCAACCTTGGGATTTTTGAAATTAGGGCTTGGATTTGGGAATTTTGGGGCTTTTCTCTAATTAAGAGGTAGGGGTCTCTAATCCATAACTTCTTTGACCTTTTGTGAGTTATTTCTTCATGGTTTGTTATCT